GAATTAATGAAAGAAACGAATTTAAGTTTAGAATAGAAATTAAGGTAAAGCTTTTCGACATTTCAAGAATCGATTCAATACCAACGAGATTTGTTCTCGATGAATACATAAAAGAAGAAAAGCTTTGAAAAAAGTTCTTTCAATTGTATTCTGCAAGAAAATCGTTTTCTATCTTTATTTAAGTAAAAAGAATTGGCATAAACACGTTCAAGAAGGACTTTTCGACAACAAATGATCTTCTTCTTCAATAATTGAATCGAAGAATTAGATCTCTTCTGACTTTCTACACTAAAATTTACTAGAAAATATACTCGCCAATATTCTTACAAAAAATCAGTTGATGCGAGGAATGTGTCGATGACTTTTCTTTCGTAAAGTTCATGTTAATTTGGAATATTCTTTGATTGATGCCTTTATGGAATTCGTCAAAATGTTCAAAGAACTTTTTCGAACACTTCTTTTTCTTTCGATATTGATTTGAAACGAATGAAATATTCATACAAAGTCAATATGATAATCTTGTATCAAATTGAACATATTTGTTTAATTTGGATATAAATATTTTTACCAATTAGTGAAAACCTGTTGTAAAAATTTATGAGTATTTTTCACACTCTTAAAACAAATGTACAATCAATTGATGGTTTTGTTACCAAGGAAAAAACATGAAAATCGAAAGGTTCTTTGAATAATTTCGATTTGACCAATATCATCCACTCATATTTCCGTATTTTATTTTAACAAGGTTGATTTCAATGTCTATCATTGAGCCTAGACCTGATTCATGATCATTATTCTCATTCTCAGTAACCGACAAATTCTCGACCAATTACTCAATTAGACAATCACTCAAATGCCAAATGTTGTCAGAAAGTGACTGTGGTCGAAAAAATACAGTATCTATTTGAATTGAAACCCTTTGGGAAAGGTTTGTAGTTTCTAAAATAATCTATTTAACTATTATTCTACGCATTTGCCGCTCTGCTGGGCTTATCTTCTCACACACATCTCAACCAGTATAGAAGTGGCGAAAAAATGTAAACTTGAATGAGTTTCAAAAGATGATATTGTTCCTAACCACATTGCTAGTAAAACTTTATTTAAAATTGTTTACGAATATTTTCAAGAAGTTGATCGAGATTTTTTGAATCTGTTCCAAGTAGATCAATGAGACGCTTGCGAGCCTTTTGGACGACGCCGTACCACATCGTTGTTAACGCAGCAAAACGTGTCTCAAGCACAGCAATGATAATGGCTGAGACAAGCACATGATGATCGACTTGACTATTTTGCGTTTGAAAGTCAACAAGTGTTTTTCCAGTCAAGTTCTTAACATCTTGTGAGTCAAGAGACCAAAGACCGTCAAATTTTTGTTTGTTGATCAAATATCGAACGATATCTTGATCATTCGATGGCCATGTTTCTTTTTCCGAAGACTTTTTCTTTTCTTTCTTAGACATTGAGTCGGAGAACGTATCGTCCTCATCATGCATGGAAATATCTTCTGCCATTGAGGATATTGGTTTATAAGCTGTCGACGAAGGCATACGTGCATCAAACGATGCTTCATCTTCCTGTAATTCCAGGTTTGCATTTGGTGCTAATGATGGCGTCGCTTTAGAGCGCGTGGCACGAGTATTATAAGAATAGCTAGCCATCACCTTACGATGTCTAAGAGCGCCTCCAACACCAAGTCCAAATCCACGTCCACCTCTACCACCAGTCGAAAACGATCCTTGCACAGACATTTGCAAATGCTGATCACCGGCAGAAATTTGAATGGGTACTTCACGAAGAACCATGTCGATATTACTTGCATTTGTTCGTTTCTCGATACCAACAAATGCGGTATGAGGACTCAAGATATTGTATTTCAACGATAATGCAATAATACGTTGTTTGGTTGTCTCCTCCGATGATGTTTCCATTTTCTCCTTATTTTTTGCCGTCGGTTCTTGTAATTCTTGAAATTGTGATTGTGTCGAACCTGTTTTCATTCTTTTTGTATTCGATGACGGTCGCTTGACGTGTTGCAATTCGAGAATGAGTGCTTTAGCCGCTAGACGAGCAAGTGTTTCGTTATTGCTAACACTCGGTATATGATCGACTTTGGCCACGCCTAATGAACAATGATCGAACTCGGTTTCTAGTTCTACAGATGAATTGTGATGAAAAGAAGCTATTTTATCATTGATCAGAGCATAAACAATCAGACGATCGTTGACGTAGACTGGAGGTGATTGAATTGGAGCACTCTGAACTGGAACTCCAAGATTCCATTTAACACGAACATTGGTAATACATGGTTGAAGTGCTTTTTGCAATTGTTCTCTAACGTATACATCGACGTTTGCATTGGGTGGTATAAAAACAAATCGACCATTAGTCGCACGAGCGAGACCTTTTACTAACGATCGACTTGGTGATTGTCCTAAGCCAAATGAAAATATTCGAGTAGATGTAGCCATTGAACGACAGAGATCGAGCACTTCTGTCACATTAGAAATCTCGCCGTCGGTTAGAAGAAATATTTGACGAGCACGGCCTTGACCAGGTGAATGTTCTTCAATCCATTTCAATGGTCGTAACTACAAATAGATATAAATATAAGAAAAGGTTAAAGGAAAAGAAATCAAACTTACCAATTCAGTCCCACCGAGATCTGCTTGCATTTGTTTGATGAGTTGTTCCGCTTGTTGAGCATTAGTTTCGTTGTAAACTGCAGTAATCTCATTGAATAGAGTCTTGTATTGAGAGCCAAATCAGACGATATTGAAATGACAATTGACGGGTAAACTCTTAAGGAAGAGTAACATGGCTTGTCGAGCTAAAACGATTTTGTTTTCATCCTGCATTGATCCACTACAATCGACGACAAAAATAAATTCATTGGTTAAATCATTTTTCGCTGCTTGTCGACAGTCTTCTTCGGTTGGAATAAAAGCCACCATCACAGCACCGTGTTCGACAGCTGCAATGGTGCTACTTCGTTTATCGGATAGATCAATATTAATCAG